AAAAAAAACAATGAACTATGCAGTATTCTACTTTCACTGAAAATCCAACACTTTGAACCGTGTGTATGCTATGCCAACTCTTTGAACAGTGTGCACTTTGACTGTGCACAAACATGCTCACTGCTGTATTTTTAGTGTTCATTAAAAAAAGCACACCTTTAGTTTTAAACCTCGCTTTATAATTTATCCCTCCCGCTGCTTTTAATCGTAGCGCACGATTTCGTGGTTATTTCAATGACAAGTGTGCGGACCTTTGAGGAGGAAGCGGGCGGCGAGAGTGTGCCGGCCGACTGTGTGCTGCCCGAGGGCCGGTCTCATGCCTTTTGATTCATTGAACGGGACGCTTCGGTTTCCGTGTCGCAATGGGCCCTTTCCCGCGTTTGTTTTTTTCCTCCCTTGTTTCGCTTCGCTGTTGTTATTTTGGCCAGTGCGAAAACGTCTGTGTGACGCTCTCTCTGCATGTACCAAAGGTAGTTCATTTCCTCTTTGTCTCTTGTTTTGCGTGGCGGCCGGGACGTCTGTGAGAATAAAAAAGGTAAAACGAAGGGACGTTTTACAAAAAGAAAACGTGAAAAAAGATTGGGCCTTTCCGGGACGAAACAACACGTGGGTCACTTTTGTATCCCTGTAATGGCCGCCTTTAGGGAGGACTGGCCAGGCAGAACTTGGAGATCCTTTCAGCGGCGGGGCAGAAAATCCACCGTGCTCGCTTTTCACGAACAGAACCCGCACCTTCGGACTGCTTCATTTTTTGCCCGCAAACTTACTTTTTCAATTAAAAGTTTTGAGGAAGATTAAAACATTTCGTTTCCGGGAAGTCTTTGAAACACATTTCACGTGATAAATACGGCAGTCCCATTACGATACAAGCAGTCTCGTCACCTTGACGGCCTCTTAGCGTCGCCTCTCAATACCTCCTTGGCTCCGGCGATGAAAGGCACGCTCCTGTCAATGCCCCCTGTTTTTCGCTGTTTGTTTGCAAGTTCCATCGCCGTGGCAGCAGCAGGTTCGCAGGCTGCCGCGCCGCCGCGTCTTCATTTGCGATGCAGCGAGCGCAAATTGTTAGTTAAGTGGATGGCGTTTAATCCCCCCCACCCTTGGGCCGACGTGGCTGCCCGCGCCCAAATGACAAGCGCTCCATGCGATATTTTTCCTTTAATGAGGTCGTTACGGCCAGAGCATCGGAGATATCGCGGCCCACCGTGCCCCGCCTCGCCCCATCTCGCCCGGCCCTACGCGCCGCCAGCAGGGGCCCCAGCAGCAGGTTGGGCTTGATGTTGTGCAGTAAATCCGACTCATGACGTATTGCGCCTTTCTTCCTTCCGGCGACCGTAGGATTAATTCTAGTTTTTTTTCTTCTCTTTGTTAAGGCGCAAATTTGGCCTGCAGTTTATTATAAGAGATTCGCGGAAACGCACCCTTACTGAAGTCGGCCGGGGCTGGGGAAGAGACCGTCAGAGACCTTGGCCACCGTTTGACGCAAGCTCGTTATTTGTAGACTTCATAAATATAAAAATAAAAGATCTATGTGAACTAGGGATTTAAGACATTATTTAGTGCCAATTTTACAACGGTGTCGTAGTTTTCAAGAAGAAGAATAAGACATCTCTTAGTTTTACTGATTAAATTTGTCTCCTTGAAACGTGCTATTGTTCAGCCCTCTCAGAGCACCCACACTATCTCAACTAATAATCTGTTTTTGTCTTCTGTGTGTTTGCAGTGTGGCGGTGGGTGCACTGGGTGTCGGGGAGCTGAGCCTCGCTCAGCAGGGCCTCGCCCAGGGCACCCCGACTGCCTCGCTGCCCATCAACTGCACCGCCGAGGACTGCGATTTTATGTCCGGGTAAATATTTCGTAACTTAACACTGTACTTTACAGTGAAGTTCGCCGTAAACTTTTATTAGTGCAGGGTTAAATTTGTGGTTTCTTTTATTGCAGGTCAGTGGCCACGCTAGACTGGCAAGGAAACGAAACATGGCTGCAGGGCAACGTCTCGGGGAATGCCACCCTGGCCGACGGGGACGTGTACTTCATGGCAGCCATATCCGTCGTGCTCGGCATTATGATCCTCATCACCATCATAGGTATGGAATACTTGTGCACAAAGAGACACAGCTCACTCGCCCTCTGTCCTCATCTGTGATTAAGCATTAAGCGATTTCAAACGGTCGTGACAAATGTTAAGGTACGACCCAAATTGGGTGTAAATTTGTATTGTACGTCAGATTGTCTCGATCGCGGTATATCTGGTAAATCCTCACCGTAAACTGGATTGTGTCTTTTGCCGCCAAAATATTGGCGTTCTTAGAATAAGAATGCCAACCAGTTTGCAGTGCTTGTATCGCCGCAACCATAAACCGTTTTGGCAAAGCCAAGTACCTGACCGTGGCTTACTTTTATGTTTGTAGTGAATACACGCCCGCCATAGTAAACGCATTCACCCTTTTATCTATCCTCTTTCGTTTTTTTTCTTTTCTCTTTACGGAATCGTCTTTGGAAAGGGTTGGGAACCCGTATAGCTGCGGCAAGGCGCGCAATGCGAAAAGTTTTGCCATGGTCGTTTCCGATGCGTGGGCACCCGTAGAGAGAATGAAAGAGAGAGTGAGAAAGTGAGAGAGAGAGAGAAAGGGGGCGGGGTGGGGGGGCCTTAGGAGTGAGAAGCACCTTGGTCCACAACAATCGTATTTGTCCAACACGCTAACGGCCTGGAAAGTCTTTGCGCTGGCCGCTGATAACACTCAACAAGGTGTGGACGGTTTGACTAAGGTCGTGACCTTGGGTGCAGGCTGTGAAAACTGTCGTTTATTATTTTTACTACCATTACACCATCGATATGGGTACGATATAATATGCTACACAGTGGTCTTCTATACGGCACATTCGTTTCATAGCGCAGTCATTTCTCTAGCGTAATGTTGTGGTGGTGGGGACTGCGAGTTGTCTAGATCTATAACGAACGGTCCTTTCTCATGCAAATGGGATGCACTTTACCCGCCTGGTTTCTTATTCGACGCCGTTTCTTAATCAACACGCCCGCATTTTTTTTCTCGATAAACAAACTTTTATTTTGTTTTTCATTGCATTCTTCTCAGCCGCTTATCAGAAAAATATCTCACGGTAGCACATAGCGTTTACCCTTCAGCGCTCCCATTGTTCCGGTCTAATAATCCAAGCAGTATGGCTTCTCAATTGGCACACTTCATAAAATAAACACAACTCTGCCTTCCTAGCCTTGACAGCTTACTTCTGGTAGGCATCGCTGCCATTTGTTGGTCGCCCTAACCCTGGCTGTCACATCCCTCCCCCCCATAACCTCCATGCTGAGGGGTTGCAAGTTCTTTCTCAGGGGGTGACCGCTCCGCTCGCTTCCAGAGTTCCCCGGGGACGTGTTGACGACCTCACAGCTTTTCGTCCAGTTGGGCAAAAAAGGGAGGCCCTAACGGATTTGCATTCCATCTATGAAGAAGCGAGCACTTGATTGGAAAGCACTGTCCGTCTGTGTGTCCGCCCGCCTGTCTGCCAGCTCGTCTGTCTCTCAACCGGATTTGGACACGCGGCCGTTCTCACGGCTTGGCGCAGCTTGGCGCCCCACCTCCATAATTTATCAGGCAGCCACGCCACGTCCCGTCGCGCCCTCACCGCACCCCGCCACGCCCCACCACGCCCCTCCGCGACAGGCATGGCCGAACGAGATCAGACTGACTTGACCTCGCTCGCCAGATCTCCATCCCCCCTACCCTACCTCACATCCCCCGGATGGACGCTGGGACAAGCGCAGGAGGAGCAAGGCGCTGACGGCGCGCCCGACTGGCCCAACGGGACTAGCTGGCTCTGAGAAGGGCCCTTTATGCTCGATTTGAAGCGTCCTCGCACTCCTATTTCCAAAAACCCTCTCTATCCTTACCACTTCTACTGAAAATTGATCCGTGTTGATAACGTATTTAACACGATAAGACGCTCACGGCACAAACAGTTTTTGCAGCTGTAGTCCCTTTGCGGCAACATCTCGGTACGAAAAGTCCGGTCTGTGGAACACACAACATCTTTATCTTGTTTGCAATGTTTATTAAATATACAAGCAACGCAGCAATACATCTCAGTTATAATCGCACTCAAACCAAAACAATAAAAAGCAGTTACTTTTGCGCCTTTGATTTTCCGACAGCGCTCTCTCTGAGCAACAGTCGTATCCAGCGACTAGGAAATGAAGCGAAGTGTTGGGGAACGGGCGAGCCGTCAGATGAGACGGTGGAAAGTGGGGGGGGATAATTTGGACGCTTTTGATCGATGAAGAAAAGGCTCGCGAGCCGCGTCAGCATCCGATCCAGTTTTACTTCCATTGCGGAAAGGGAAAGAAAGAGAGAACAAAGGCATAGTGAGAAGTGGCGATAGCCCGAAGAGTCTAAGAATAACTTGTAATGACCATATCAATCCTTTTATTAAATTGGGCACTATTCAAATCGTCAG